TCTTTTACAATTTGCGATGTGAATGAATCTAAAGGAAGTTACGATTTTTGTTCAGCTAAGAGTTATACAAGAAATTTGCAAAACTTTTACGCGATATAAAGCAGTCGAGAACTACCTCAACATGGGCCGTTGTGTAAACTGATAAGACGAACTACGAGCTAATTATCGGCCTAGACGGTTGTTACATGTCTCAATGCGACATCTAAAAATGTTTTAGGAAATAGTATGCGAGAATTCGATACCGATGCCCTCAAGGAATACTCTAGAGACAGACTCAGATGCTTTTGTGGATGTAACAAACACTACACTTGACTCACGGATGAGTAGTTAAGCAAAAAACCAGTTACAAGGCCGTGTTAATAACAAAAAGAAGTCCACATATTTTCAACTAAAACACACAAAGAGTATTACGAAAACTTTCTACAAATAAAATAATAATGCCACATCACTAATCACTTGGAAGCATCAAACGGAATGAGGGTCCTTCGACATCATCACTGTCACTATCGCCTTCGTAGGCGACGACTAAGTCGACGTAACTATCCTTTGGTGTGTATTTGAGCATCGGAAGCATCCTAAAATACAAAGCCATATCATTTTGGGTAAGCTGAATAAACAATATAATCCCGTACATAGCTCATCACGTACTCTAGAAGACAGTAAGGCACTATTATCGCCTAAATAGCAGTAAACTCAAGTCATTGTTACTTATAAACAAAAAAATTTTGACTTTTGGGAAGGCCCAAGTAAGAGATAAGGCATGTGTGAAGAGGGAAAATTAAAAAGCAGAGGCAAAAGGAGTTGATGTGCAATGGTAGACTTCATTGCTTGTGTACAACAATTCAAAAGCAAAAGAGATCTCAAATTAAAATTTATTTCAAACACGCGTTCTACAAAGGAGTGCCATTAACACCAGATACATTGCTCTCGTGTTGCGAACTCAACCAAACTGCTCATGACAATTTGGGGCAACCGGTCACCACATTTCACATGCTTGTGATGTCGAGCTCAGACGAAATGCTGACTGACAAATACATAAATAGGACGTAAGGTTAACCAATTTCACGTTGAAACCATTCAAGACTTTCGTAATCACAATCAAAGAGGAGATTTTTAACCAAGACACCCTATTATTTTACATTTTAATGCTTCCTTGATTTCCACATCAAACTATATCACCATCGAAATGCAATAGCAGTAAATGGGGTCACAAATCTATAATGCTTTTTAAAGTCTCAACCACTCCCACTTCCCGACTTCTCGAGGTTGGCACCTCAAAAGAAAAGGGAGTTGACCATTAAGTGCTGCGGCTCACGCTGAGATACATTTAGAGCTGAAATGAAACCGACCATTTGCGGACAGTTAAGCAGATAATTTGTGACAGTATGTCAATGCTTGTACAACTTCAAAAACTCACGGTTTGCGGAGGTTGCGTTCAAAGTTTGGTAGATGTGTCATGTAGATGGGGCGGCAGTTCTGTGTGATCAAGGAGACATTGAGTCCCTTTTCCCGCTAAAGAAAAATCAGCGCACTAAAAAATTCTCCTAGTCTGCGTATATTCCATTTATTCTGTGAAAGAGTAGTTCTACGGAACCTGCGTATACTTTATGCTCAAGTGGCCTTAATCGAAATTGGTTTCTAAGTCTTTTATCGTTAACAACGTGCAAAACCCAACATTCACCTTTATTAATTCGATAAACTCCTTCAGAGTAGACGTTTTGGTAGGCAACTTCATCTCCCATCGATCCCAAACGGTAAAATGTGTGTTGTTGGGGAGATTTTTAGTAACACAGAGGCCAGGCAAAGCAGAGAGGACGGAGGGGAGAGAGAGATTGGCAAAATTGTTCCTCGAATGGTTGGTAAGGCATTCTATCTCGGAAGAGGTTCCGCTGAAACAAATGTACTTTAACACCTCTAGACTAACCAAACCTGCGACAGCAGCTGTGGTTGTGGCTATCGCAGGGATAATGCGGCCAGCAATCCTTTTCACCTCGAACCTCTCCGCCTCCGGCAGTCCATACATCATAGCTCGCAGGTTCTAAGCGATAATTGTGGGAGGCAAAATAATCACTGCCCTTCTTGGCAGTGGGTTAAAAACCACCCATGTACATGATTTTAAGCAGATTTAGTCCATTCATTTTAGCATAAGACATATTAAACGCAGCTTTTAAATCAAAAGAATATGTAGTATTTAAAATGCCAAATCTAATTAATTTCAGATGAAGTGAAGACAATGAGAAAGAACAATTGAAGTATCCATGATTTTAAATGCTTCAAACTGAACGTGACAGTGAATTCGGATTGTTCACATCCAATTTAAAGGCATGAAGGGGACATAAAAACGCACTGTAGCTGCAGCAATGAAGTCGATGTGTCCATCGTTATCGTTATCTTTGTCGAACTCGATAGGCTGACAAACGATTCGACCTGAACACAAAACAATAGCACGATAAAAATAAACTACATTTGTATGTTCTGAGTAGCATACTGGAAAATAATAAAAGTCGCTACTTCATAAGCTTTAATGCTTTGTGTAGTAATGAACACAATCCTGGAAACAATATTTGGCAAATTAATATCCATTCCAGGTGTCCAACTTTGAAGAGATTTGAGAACAATAAATTTGTCTAGTAGAACCGACCACCATTCCAACCAACTACAACAACCACAATTCTACTACGCACAAGGCGATATGTATCTTCTCCATCTCCAAAGACAATAGATGCAGCAAAACCCTTCACTCGTAACTTCCTTTTGACAAAATGCCAATGAGAAGAAACACTAAGGCAAAATATGCCAATATTAGAGTCTTCAATCACCGAATACGCAAGAGTGGTGTATGTCGATTTCAGCGTTTTTAATGTGGCAATACTGCTACACTCTGCTGCACGAGCAAAGTTGCTCACTTTGGACAAAGGAGGAGGTAGGGAAGCAGCAATTCATTAAATGCGAGCAAGGCACTCACCAGTCTCATTCCCATGGATAATCAACATGTTCAATACCTTAAAATAATGATTATGTCACGAATTGAATACAAGAGGGTATAGGGATTTTGGAACTATATGTATCCCTGCGAATGTGCATTTCTTGAGGTGTGGGATAGGAGCCACAATGAACATTTGTAAAATAGATAGTTTAGATAAAAGCCTCCATTTCTAATGACAGCATAAGAGCACTGCACCCGGAACAGGTCACTTGCGTACAACTGCGACGAAGGTAAGTGGCCAGAGTGGCTTAGCCACTTCTAAGCTCCACAAAACAATCGAACTAATGCGCTTTGCCTGTCTCTACGACGTCCGAATGACCAGACTTGGCAACTTTTAATCAACGCCCCAAAATCACATGTTTGCGCAATCTTGTGGTGCTTAAGGTCGGAAGAGAGTAAAGGACATCAGCAAGAAAAGGGCGTTGGCTTTAATGGGAGGAGTTTTCAGCCACCCCCCAAATCCTGTCCGT